CGCCCCCCCCCCCCCCCCCCCCTGCCGCAAACGCCGGCCCAGCAGCTCGCAAACACTCGGCCGGGTTGTCTCAGGCAGCCTGGAGGAACTGGGGAGGGGCGGAGTCTCCCAATGACGCAGCCCGGAGATCCTCCAACCAGCGTCCGACCCGGCGATACCTGTGCGTCGATTGGTCAAGTGGAGCTCCGCCATGTGAGGAAGTGAGCCTCAGAGACCCGGGAGGCGATGGGCGGCGCTTTGGTTGCCGAGAAACCATGGAGTCACGTGTCCTGGGCGGCCTTGTCCTAGCAGGGGCGGGGTTTATTATTTATAGATCTGGTTGTTCTCCAAGTCCACTCAGTCACCTCCTGCTGGGGTAGGGAAGCTTAGTTTCCGAGACCTTTGACTTCTCTTGGTCCCTGGACAAGCTCAGTTCCTCTGCAATTCTCCGGGCAGATGTCTGTCTCCAAAACTTTCTCAGGTTTGCTATCCAAATTACAACGCTTCCAGGCTTCCTCTACCGTCCCATTCACCTAGTCTGGAAGCTTTCCGTCCTTTATTTACTCAAGATACCCAGCTGTGCTCTAGGCGTTGTGCCAAGCGTGAATTCAAGACACATAAGACCTGGTAAGGGTCCCAGAGCTCTTTGCCGCTTGGTGTGGGAGGAAGTCCGCCATGGAGACAGACACGTTTACAAATAACAGCAAAGAATTATGTGGAATATGACAGAAATGTGGCCACAGAGTACACAACAGAGAGAATGGTCATGAGAGGCATGTGTCAGAAACGCTTCATTAAATGAGATGGTCCTTGATATCCTTAGGGAATAGCAAGCATGTTCATTGATACAACCCTTCCTCATCCCCAACGTCCCAAACAAGTGATGAAAGACACCAGGCAGCCATCAGTAGAAGTGCCTTGGATATAGTCCCTAGTTTTGTCTAAGTCCAATCAATGCCGCGAGGGTTGTAGTAGCTACTACCACCATCTGAAAGCAGTACAGCGTGCTCTGTCAATCACATTTACAATCGTTCTTTGAGAGAATATGCACACAGAAGCAAGCGGAAAGCAAGGGGGTTAAAAACCAAGATGCAAATGTAGTACAGGCAACATTTGGGCAGTGCTTATTCATAGAGAGGCATGAATCTGGCAGTATCCAGGTCACAGAAAGGGGTACTGTTGGAGGTTTATGAGTGCTTCCTCAGGCTACTCCATGATCTCATGACTCACTTGAACTCTTTCCTCTGATGTCATGTCACCAAACTTTATTTCAAATTTGGCCTCGCAGGTACCTTGATGTCAGGATAAGGGTGCCTTTGACAGTGGACACAGATGGTCCAGTCACTAAAATTACATTTTATAATTTAAACTTACAGTTATAACTTAATACACAGGCAACTTACCAATTCACCATGTATTCTGAATCTGATTAATGTGTGCACTGAACAAATCCAAGCTAGATCTTGGACCTGGAATGCTGAAACCATAAGCCATTGTGATCCCCCTTCCCAAAGACTGGTCATATTCAGAAGCCATCAGAGACCAGTCATTAGTCTTCTGCATATCTCAGACCTTCTCGTTTACAGTAGCATGACTGACACTAGAATGGTTTTCAGTGTTTCCTGACCAGCCTTCATTGAGATCAGGAGCTGTGTCTTTTTGACATTTGCATCTCCAGAGCAAAGTCTGGCAATTGGGTAGAAATCGTTTGGTGTGTAAATGTTTAAACTAGAACCTTCATGGTCAAGAACACTAAACAAGAGCTAAATCTATGATTTCCTCTTCAATTCCCTCTTCATGTTGCAACCAAGGTGATCCTTTCAGAATGGAAATCAGGTCATATCTCATCTCTTTCTCTCTGTGTGTGTCACACACACACACACACACACCTCCCAGAAACTCAATCATTTCCTACTGATCTTAAAGACTTGAATCATTATCATAGTAAATTAGTTGGAGTTCTTAGTTCAACCAACAAAACTAATTCTAGCCAGTTTAAGCAGTAAAATGAATTGATTCAAGTAGCTCTGTCCAGTACACTTTTCTGTGATGATTGAAATATTCTACAATATATCCGAGCATCCAGTAAGGTAGCCATTAGCTCATAAAACTGCTAAGCGCTTGACGTGGCTTGTGTAACTGAGAAACTGAATTTCAGATTTTATTTTAATTAATTTAAATTGAAATAGCCACATGTGACTTAATGGTAACCCCATCATAAGCACAGAATTAAAGAATATTAAGTAGTTCACAGAATCTCAAGGTAAGCGGAGAGTCAGGCTTCAGAATTATACAGCCAGAAATTGTGTGTAAACCTCACTGAAGGAGTACCCAGGGAATACTCCACTGCCCTGAACATAGACACTGCAGCTGCATGAATGACTGGGCACTGGATACAAGAGCCTTCCATTAGCCCCCCAAATCAGGTGCCTCTGATATTACTTTGTCAAATTTGAATTCCTCAGTGCGTTGTCTTCCCCTGCTGTGTGCCTCTGAACCAAAACTTCTGCATGATGGATGGAGCCCAGGTCATATTCTATGCCCAACTGCAAAGGAGGCTGGGAAGGCCAGTTTCTGGCTTCTACCTCTTGAAGACTAGAATGTAATGCGAGAAATTCTCCACCCCAAAGAACGGTGTTCAGAGACACCGGATGTCCGTCGAGTACAACAAATGTCTATCTACGCTACATAGTCTATGCCAGTGCTTCTCGAACTTTAATATGCAGACAAATCCTTGGGAATCATGGTACAATGCAGATCCTCATTTAGTAGGTCAGAGGGAGGGGAACAAGATTCTGACTTGTTTTCTATCTCCATAGTTTTGCCAGGCACTAAGTGTTTTACTTGCATTAACTCTTTTAATACTCCCACTCCAACCCTATGAAGCAGAAAGACTAGCTAAGAATACTTTTATTTTTCATAAAGTACTACTCTCATTGTGAATTTTTTTTTTTTTTTGTACAAAAACTAACTAAAATGGGGCTGGCAGGAGGCATGGTGGTTAAAGGTACTGGATTCCCACATGACCAACTGTGGTTTGAGTCCCGGACCTGGTGGCTTACTTTCTCACTTTCTCTCTCTCTCTCTTTCATCAAAATAAAAAATAATAACAAATGGAATTAAATAAGTAATTGTTTTAAAAAACAACTAAAATGCATTTATTGAATGTGTGACACAAGGGCTCAACCAGACACTTAATTTAAAAAAACAGAACCGGGGACAAGCAGTTAACGTAATGGCTATGTCACTGGACTCCCACATAGTCGACCGCAGTTTGAGTCCCAGACCCGGTGGCTTAAACTCACACCGGGCGCATGTGCGTGCATGCCCAAGACCCCGAGAGGAGAATGGAGGAGAAGGTAATGCGACGTGGCCATCCCCTCTGGGGAGTGATTTCTCACTTTCTATCTCTCTGTCTCTCTCTGTCTGGCTGGCTAGCGCACACACCCTATAGCAAAAAACTCTAAAACAAAACAAAACAAAACCCAGGAACAAAATAAAAATAACGCCACAGCTCAAGATACAGAGTCCTAACAGAGATCAAGGAAAGGACAGATCAACCTAAGGAAAAAGTAAGAAGATGACAAAAGGTGGGTCTGACAGCCTGGGTCAGGCCTCCTGGCTGGAGACCTGCTTGGAGTAGGTTTCTTGCAGGTATTTCTTAAAGGCTGTGGGGTTTTTCCAGAGCACAGCGGCCTGTGTGTTCAAAGGGCTGTCGATGATGGGTTCTTATAGCAGGCTCTGGATGGAGAGCAGGATGGTCCTGACATTGTACAGGGTGGACCACTTGTCCTTCAGGATGTTCACGTTAGGGCGATAGCAGGGAGTGAGGAACTTCACCATGGGCGCCTTGTAAGGGTAGCCACTGGGGAACTCGAGGGAAAACTTATACCTCAGGTCTTCATAAACTGTGCCAGCTGCTCTGTAGATGGTCCCTATCCATTTGAAAGGTTGTCTGATTCAGGGAAGGCAGAAATTCCTTTGTCATCAGATATCATGAGGGTCGTCAGCTCCTGCTGCAGCCTCTTGCCTCTGGTGGCACCCCCACTGGGCTTGGCCTCTTTTTCTTGGTCTATTTTCCAGCTCTCTTGTAAATTTTATAAGGTACTAATATCCTTTCAATAATTCTTTTTTTTTTTTTCTGAGAGAGAGACAGAGAGAAGAGAGAAAGAGAAAGCATGCCCCAACAGGGCCTGGTCACTGCACAATCACTTTTTTCTCCATTTCTCCACCAGGATTTCTGGGCACACATGTAAACACCCAGCATGTTTTTCTACTCAAGGGGCAGGACTCAAACCTGAATGGGCTAGGTGGCATCCATCTCCCTCTGAACAGTGCTTAACTGCTGTGCTAGGAACCAGCCCACAATAATTCCCTTTCTGATGAAGTTAACCAGAGTGAGTTTCAGTATTTCACATTCAAAAACCCTGGCAAGAGACTAGCGGATGGTGTAATGGTTACTTCACTGGACTCCCACATAGTCAACCATGGTTCTAGTCCCAATCCACCAACTTGAAATTCATGCTGGGGCGTGTATGCATGCCTAAAATACTGAGAGGAGAATCGAGGAGAAGGGATTACAGCATGGTCATCTCCCCAGAGGGTGATTTCTCACTTTCTCCATGAGGAGGACATGTGCACTATAGCAAAAAAAATCTCTCTTAAAAACAAAACCCTGGCAAGTACTTGCATTTTAATCTTCAAGAGAATCTGGATGGGAGAAAATGGGGAAATCTTTAGTCCTACTGCTGTTAGGGTGAAGGATAGGTGGGAAAGCAGGTGCGCTTCTGGGGTGTGCATGTGTGTGTATCTTAAATGCATACGTAACAGCTTTTTTGAGATATGTCACATACAATCATGTTCACCTTTTAAAGTATACAGTACAGCGGTTTTTCATATATTCAGAATTTAGCAACCCTCGTTCTGTTTTTTGTTTGTTTGTTTGTTTGTTTGCTTGCTTGTTTTAAATAAAGCTCCTTTCAAGGGTTCCTCTAGATCTACTGATCTTATCTGTATGGAAAGTAAACTATCAACTCCTACCTTGGTTTTTATGTAGATCTATACCAAATATTTCCTTTATGAAATATTGTCAGATCTTTTTGCCTAAGGTCATTTTTTTGTGAAATATCCTCAATTTAGCCTCTCTACTGGCCGCTCAAGCCAGCTCATATAACACAACTCCAGTATCTTGTTCATTCACTTATTCTTCGAAGACCAGCTGGGCACAGGGCCTCACTGATTGGCTCAGGCCGGGCAACGTCATCAGACCGCGACCTCCAGAGTGGCTGCCGCGCGGTTATGTGGCTGGACGGACGTAGGTGGCTCCGGGTTCTTGTGCAGTGCGGTTTGGGTCGCGGTTGCCTTAGCTTTGCCAGGATTTGGGGTGGCTGTAGAGACCCGATGGCGGAAACACTCTCAACAGGAGCGGAGTCAGCTGACGGGTTGAATGTTACGGCTCAGCAAAACGGAGACGCTGGTGGCGACGTAAGGGGTAAGCGGCTCCCAGGGAGCTCGGAGCCTGGTAGCCCTGGAATTGAGTCGGTCCCAGAGACCGGGAAGCAGGCCCCAGGAGGTGAGGAGCAGGCCTCGGCTGCAACCCTGGGTCCAGGCAAACGAAAAAAGCGGCGGGGGACGACCAGGGACCGTGTCGTGCCGCCCCCTAAGAAGCGGCGGACTGGGGTGAGCTTCAGCGATGAGCACTTTGCAGAGACTAGCTACTACTTCGAGGGCGGCCTGCGTAAGGTTCGGCCCTATTACTTTGACTTCCGGACCTACTGCAAAGGCCGCTGGGTGGGCCATACTTTGCTGCATGTCTTCAGCACCGAGTTCCGAGCCCAGCCCCTGGCGTACTACGAGGCCGCGGTCCGGGCGGGCCGCCTGCACCTGAACGAGGAGCCGGTACAAGACCTCAGCATCGTGCTGAAGGTGAAGTCCCGATGAAATTGACCAGAATTGGGCAAGGAAAGGGGCAGGGTTTTCTTCAGACCTAGTAGAGAGCATAGGTACTGAAATAAAACATAGTGATTCCGAAGTGTTCTTGCTTTCGCTTGTAACACTCAGTTCCTTGTTCTCCTCCATTTCTGCAAGCAGTGTCTCTGTGCTTCACAACTGAGCTATTTATCTTCCATCACTGCAGCTTCCTTGTTTCCAAAAGACCGAAGTTGGAATTCTCATAGTTGCTTTCTTTTTTAAGAATTATTTTATTTAATTTTATTCACTTATTTTAATTTGACCAGAGAGAGGTAGGACGAGAGAGAGAAAAACAGGGAAAGTGAGAAAGCAAGCCGCCAAGTCCAGGACGAGAACCAAGTTCAGCCCTGCTAGTGAGAAAGCAAGCCGCCAAGTCCAGGACGGGAACCAAGTTCAGCCCTGCTGGAGTCCAGCGCCCTTAACCACTGCCACCTGCTCTCCCCTCATAGTTGCTTTTGTACAAGAACACTGATCTCTTTCTATCCTGCACTGCAGATCTCTGTTCAAACAGTAAGAATAGTAGCTATCATGTTTCCTTAGTATGTGCTGGGCACAAAGGTAACCACTTTTTTTTAGAAAGATTTTTGCTATAGGGCAGGGTGTGCTCCCCAGAGAGACAGAGAGAAATAGAGAAATCACTCCTAGGGGGTGATCACCTCCAGGGAGGATGGTGACTGCTGCAGTCTCCTCTCTTCCATTCTCCTCTGGGTATTTTGGGCATACATCCACATGCCCCCAGCCTGAGTTTTAAGCCACCAGGTCAAGTACTCAAACCTGGGTTGACTAATTGGACTCCAGCAATGGAACCATTATGCCACCTGCTGGTCCCCAAAGTTAAGCATTTTACGTACTTTTATATTTCATTCTAATGGCAACCTTGTAGTGTTATTACTATCCCCTCAAGGTAAACCTCACAAGGGTAAGCAACTGTGCCACTTTCAAAACCAGTCTGTTCTTTTAACTACTACTTAAACTATCATAGAGCTTGTCTATGTAATAGAATTGTGAGATGTCAGGGATAGAGACTAGAATTGTCTAGCCTAGTACCTCCACCCCTTCTGCTTTGAATTCCCTCTACCATCCCAATTTTAAAAAGAACAGATCTGGTCTAAATCTCATATTTTATAGATAAGGAAACAGTTCTTTAGAAGTTTAATGACTTGCCCAAGAGAATATAGTGAATCTGTGGCAAATCCCGGTCTAGGATCCAGGTCTCTGGACTTACAGCTTGATGTTTGGTCAAGATCATGACAGTTTTCCCTCCGTTAAAAAAATTTACTTTTAGGGACCAGCAGATGGCGTAATGGTTACGTCGCTGGACTCCCACATGGTTGACCACTATTTGAGTCCCAGCTCCGGCAGTTTAAAATTCATGCCAGGTGCATGTGCATGAGTGCCCAAGATCCTGAGGGGAGGATGGAGGAGAAGGGATTGTGGCATGGCCATCCCCTTGGGAGTGATTTCTTGCTCTATGTCTCTATCTCCCATGTGAGCGCATACACCCTATAGCAAAAATGTCTCTTAAAAAATATATATATATATTTTTTGAACCAGCAGATGGCAGAGTAGTTACAGTGCTAGACTCTTTTATGACTGACTGTAGTTCAAGTCCCAAACCCAGAGGCTTGAAAATCACGCTGGGAATGTGTGTGTGGCCAAAATAACCAAGAGGATAATGAGGGAGAGAGGATTGCAACGTGGCCATCCTCCCTGGGGATGATTTCTCACTTTCCCTCTCTCTATCTCAGTCTCTGGTAAGCACATGTGCCCTATAGTAAAACCTAAAAACAATTTTACTTTATTATAGAGAGAATACAAATAAGCTCAACCAAAAATCATTCAGAATCTCACCATCCAGAGATATAACCATTAATATTTTTGTGTATATCTTTCTAGTGCTTCAGTGACTTACCTGCTTATATATATGTCTGAATTACAAAATGAGATTACGCTATGCACACTGCTTTTTTCTGCCTTAGGATGTACTGTCACCATTCTTGCATGTCATTAGGAACACAGGAAGCTGGGTATGAAGTTGACTGGTTACAGGCTGCTGGCCCCGGGGCTGACTGGTTACCTGTGTCTTTGACAGGACAATGATTTCTTACGGAACACAGTACACAGGCATGAGCCACCAGTCACAGCAGAACCTATTCGCCTGCTAGCTGAGAATGAAGACATGGTGGTTGTAGACAAGCCTTCCTCCATTCCTGTCCACCCCTGTGGCCGCTTCCGGCACAACACGGTCATCTTCATCCTGGGCAAGGAGCACAAACTCAAGGAGCTACACCCATTGCATCGCCTTGACCGCCTTACCTCAGGGGTGCTCATGTTTGCCAAAACAGCTGCGGTCTCTGAGAGGATTCATGAGCAGGTTCGGGACCGGCAGGTGAGCTAGGCTTTTGTCTCCAGCAGGCTGCTTCCTGGGCTCATGAATTCTCTGTGTCAAAGGCAGTTACAGAGTTCTATATCTGAATTGGACCTTCGTGTTTACCTTCAGGAAGATCAACACTTAAGTGCCAAAGACAAGTTATTATCTCTTGTTTCAAAAGATCTTTAGAGAAGGCACACACTGCCTTTCTTGGTTTGCTGCTTTGAAGTTTTTTAATGCTCACAGGCTTGGGACCAGCAGTTGACGTAATGGCTATGTCACTGGACTCCCATGTAGTTGACTGCAGTTTGAGTCCCAGACCCAGTGGCTTAAACTCACGCTGGGTGCGTGTGCGTTCATACCCAAGATCCCAAGAGGAGAATGGAGGAGAAGGGATTGCGGTGTGGCCATCCTCCCAGGGGGTGATTTCTCGCTTTCTATCTCTCTGTCTCTGTCTTTCTAGAGAGTGCACGTGCCCTATAGCAAAAACCTCTCAAAAAAAAAAGCCTGCGGAGTTCTTAAGTTTGTGGGAGGGAGCCTGGTTGGTGTAAAGATTCTACATGAAGTTAAAAGAGGCTTGGGTAGAAGAGTTTATTGGTAATGATTGTGATCTTGAGATTTGCATTTCTGGGTCTGGATTGTAATACATTTGTCAGGTGCATACCATATACCAGGCTTAGTACCAAGCACGCTTAAGCCTGCCTAACATTAATAGCCTTGTGAGATAAAATGCTTTTTCTAAGCTCATATTTTCTATACAAGTCAATGGGATTTAAAGAGGTTAAACAGGGAGCCAGCAGGTGGCATGGTGGTTAAGGGTGCTGCACTCTCACATGGCTGACCGCGGTTTGAGTCCTGGGCCTGGTGACTTGCTTTCTCACTTTTCTTTCTCTCTCTCTCTCCCTCTCCAAATTAAAATAAATAACGTTAAATAAAATAATTCTAAAAAAAAAACTTACCAACTTATCAGTTCTTACCTTTCCAGCCTTCTCTCACTTTTCCCATCCTCTGCATGGCTTTACAGGAGTTGTTAGTTTAATTTTTAAATAAATAAATAAAGAGGTTAAGCAATCTACCCAGGATCTTGAAACTGGCAAATGGTAGACTAGGGTTTGAATCCTCTCTTACCAGACCTGGTACTTTGCTTATTGTCCTTCAGAGGGCTTGAACTCTGTGAATTTAGGCTATGTGCTGACTTTTTCCTCCTTCCCTTCCATGTAGCTGGAGAAGGAGTATGTGTGCCGGGTTGAAGGGGAGTTCCCTACTGAGGAAGTGACCTGCAAGGAACCCATCCTAGTGGTGTCTTACAAGGTAGGGGTGTGCCGTGTAGATCCCCGGGGCAAGCCCTGTGAGACGGTGTTCCAGAGGCTGAGCTACAATGGCCACTCCAGTGTGGTACGGTGCAGACCACTCACAGGCCGCACCCACCAAATCCGAGTCCACCTTCAGTTCCTGGGCCACCCCATTCTCAACGACCCCATCTACAACTCAGTTGCCTGGGGCCCCTCCCGAGGCCGGGGCGGCCATATTCCCAAGACAGATGAGGAGCTGCTCCGAGACCTGGTGGCGGAGCACCAGGCCAAACAGAGCCTGGATGTGCTAGATCTCTGTGAGAGTGACCTGTCCCCAGGATTCACAGACTCTACAGCCCCCTCCTCAGAGGTGGGCAAGGACAGCCCGGAGGTGGGTAAGGACAGCCCGGAGGTGGGTAAGGACAGCCTGGAGGTGGGCAAGGACAGCCCGGAGGTGGGCAAGGACAGCCCTGAGGTGGGCAAGGACAGCCTAGAAGAGTTTGTTCCTGCTACCCAGAAGATAGATGGAGGAGTTGAGGCAGCCTCTCAGAATCTGGATACAGTGGCCTTTGCACCAGGAAAGGCAGCTGAAACAGATATTAAAAATGAAGAGACAGACCCCCTCTGTGCAGAGTGCCGGCTGGTGCGACAGGACCCCTTGCCCCGAGACCTTGTGATGTTCCTGCATGCCCTATGCTATAAGGGGCCAGGCTTTGAGTACTTTTCACCCATGCCTGCCTGGGCACAGGATGACTGGAAAGAAGACTGAGAGGTGGCCAATGGAGGGATCACTTCTTGGCTTGAGACAGGAATGGGCCGTAGGGCAGGTGCTTGACCCACGGACTGATTCTCAGGATTTCTACAGAAGTGAGGTTGGGATCTAAAGGGACCTGCTCAGACTTGCTACCTTCTTCCTCTCCCTTCCTCCAGCCAGAGTTGGGGTGTTTTCAGGATGTAAATAAATCCCTTTTTTAAACACCTGGTGTGTCTGGTGTCTCTCACTGCTTCTTTCCCTTTTTAAAAAATTTATTTAGGTAAAATTCACATAACATAAGTTACTACGAAATACAAGTTGGTGACATTTAACACATTCACGATGTTGTGCAACCATCACCTGTTACATGGTGCCAGGACATTTTCATCACCCCAAAAGGAAACTTGCACCCATTAAGCAGCCATTCCCCATTCTCCTCTCCTTAGCTCATGAAACTGTTCATCTGCTTTTTTCATCTCCATGGAGTTTACTATTCTGTGTATTTAATATAAATGGAATCAGAATACCTGGCCTTCTGTGTCTGTCTTTCATTTAGCATATTTTCAGGATTCATACGATTTGTAGCATGTATGAGTACTTCATTTTTGTGGCAGGATAATAGTCCATTGCATGGGTATATCACACTGTGTGTGTCCAGTCATCAGTCTATGAACATTGGGTTTCTACCTTCTGGCTAGTGTGAATAGTGCTGCTATAAATATTAATGTACATTTTTGGGGGCTGTCAAAGTACACATTTTCAGCTCTTTTGAGAATATCTGCTTATATCTGGGCTCCCACATGGCCAGCTACAGTTCAAGTCCCAGACCTGGTAGCTTGAAAATCATACTGGGCATGTGTGTGTGGGTGCCCAAAATCCTAAGAGGAGAATGGAGGAGAAGGGTTTGTGGCATGGCCATCCCCCCGGGAGGTGAATTTTCACTTTTCTCTCTCACTGCCTCTCTCTAGGGACCACACACACCCTATGGCAAAAACCTTAAAAAAAAAAAAAAAAAAAAAGGCCAGCCCTAAAGGGTCTGTGGCATGACCACTCCCCACTGGAATGCTTTCTCTCTTCTCACTTTCTCTTTCTCTCTGTGGTAAGTGCATGCTGTGAAAATTTAAAAGTGAATAAAGAGCTGAAACTATAAAATTCTTAGAAGAAATTATAGGGGTAAGGGTTGTATGGTAGTGCAGCATAATGCAATGCTCTGCAATGCTGACCCAAGTGGGAAGGTTCCACATTTGCATCCAGAGAACTCCCTGAACATGCTGGATATGTGGTGTATCGATGGTCCACAGCTTGCTGAGGCTGGGGGTGGATCACAGCATCAAGCCTCTGTGGGTAAGTGCTGTCTCATTGTCTCTCACTCAAAATAAAAAATATTAAAGTGGTCACTTCCTATTTTCTGTTCATAGATAACATAAATCTATATGTATTTTCAAAAACTGAAGGATAATAGTCGATTGCATGGGTATGTCATACTTTGTCCAACCATCAATCTATGAACAATGGAAGGCCAGCCAGGTGTAATGGTTAAGGCAGCTGGATCCCATATGGCTGACTGTGTGGTTTTGTTCCAGACCCAGTGGTTTGAAAAGCATACCAGACGTGTGTGCATGCATGCCCAGAATCCCAAGAGGAGAATGAAAGAGGAGGCGTTACAGAGTGACCATTCCCCCGGGGGGTGATTTCTCACTTTCCCCCTCTCTGTCTCTTCAGTGAGCACATGTGCCCTGTAACAAATGCTGAAATAAATAAATAAATGGGATTATGCCATAGAAATTGTTCTACACCTTGCTTTTCTCTAGGACATCTGGTTTTTTTAATAGCCGTTCTGTGTTCCATACTATAATTTCATCCATCCTTTGATGAAATTGTAGGTGTGTATAGTTTTTCATTATTCTCACACTGTTGTGAACATCCTTACATTCTTCCACACTTGTACCAGTGTTTTTTGGTATGGTTATGGAGTCAATAGCTTTAAATACCGGGTGGTAATACCAAACTGCCCTCCACAAAGCGGAGATAGTACCAGTTTACATTCTCCCCCGCAGTGTGAGAGGCAGAGGCAGCAGCTGCTGAATGTGGTGGCTGGAGCTGGTCAGGCACTGCATTTTCAAGGTTGGCTGTGGTTCCAGCTGTGTGTTGGAACCACAGATTTTCCAGAATGTCTTCTAATGGATGACCTAGATTTGCTTGAATTAGTCTTGCTTCCAAAGGTTTCAGAGAAAATGGGTTCATTTCAGAGCCTCTTTAGACTTTGTGTTACTGTCATCGAGACTCAGATTTTTAATATTTTTTTAGAACACTGCCTTGCTCATGTGAACAGCTGTCTCCTATGATTTTGATTATTGTTTTCTTCCCCTTCAAATTCTCTGTGTACTCTTCATTTGCAGCTTGTCCACATTTTCAAAACTGTAACATCTTCATCAGCCATTAACTACATTGAAACACTCAAGAATTGAGTTGAACACACACATGACCAGTGATTCCACTTCTAGTTATATACCTAAAGAAACACTTGTAGGGGCCAGCAGGTGATATGGTGGTAAAGGGTGCTGGACTCGCACATGGCCAACCACAGTTCAAGTCCTGGACCTGGTGGCTTGCTTTCTCACTTTCCAACTCTCTCGTGCTCTCTCCCTCTGTCCCTCTCTGGCCAAATTTAAATAAATAAATACAAATAATTTTTTTTTTTTAAAAAGAAACACTTGTACATGTACCCCAAGAGACATATATTAGAATATTCACAGCAGTATCGTTGCAACAGAAGACTGAAGACACCAGACATATCCATCAATAAGAAAATGACCATGTTGGGAACCAGCAGTTAGCATAATGGTTATGTCACTGGACTCCCACGTAGTTGACCGCGGTTTGTGTCCTGGACCTGGTGGCTTAAAACTCATGCTGGGCGCATGTGCGTGTGTGCCCAAGATCCTGAGAGGAGAATGGAGGAGAAGGGATTGCAGTGTGACCATCCCCTCTAGGGGGTGATTTATCGCTTTCTGTCTTTATGTCTCTCTCTGTCTGGCGAGCGCACACGCCCTATAGCGAAAAAACCTCTCCAAAAAAAAAAAAAAAAAAGAAAAGAAAATGACCATGTCATTGTATTCATATGTTCAGACAATTGTGGGGTTTTTTAACAATTATTTTATTTAACTTTATTTATTTTGATTTGACCAGATAGGGAAAAGAGAAAGTGAGAAAGGTCCAGGACTTGAACCATGGTCAACCACATGGAAGTGCAGCACCCTTAACCACCACACCATGTGCTCATGGTGGACACACAATTAGACAATTGTGTTCTAAGCAGATGTGGAAATGAATGAATTATATAGATACAACAAGGTTGAGTGAAAGAAGTCAAAGGTGAATCCATTTAATGATTCCATATATGTAAAATTCAAAAACAGACAAGACAAAAACATTTTAGGGATCTATACATGCATATTTGCTAAGAAAAGCAAGAGAATAATTTAGGAAAGTAGTTATGTTTTTGGTGAGAGGATGCCAGCAGGAGGGGTACATAGAAAGGTTCAAAGTTCCTGGTAATGTTCTCTTTTTAAGCTGGGTCATGTATTTGTAGCATTGGTTTTTATTATTATTAAGAATGTACAACAAGGACCAGCAGGTGGTGTGGTGGTTAAGATGTTGGACTCCCACATGGCCAACCACAGTTCAAGTCCTGGACCTGGTATCTTGGTTTCTTACGTTCTCTCTCTGGTAAATGCACATGCCTTATAGCAAGTTAAAAATAAAAATAATTAATAAAATAATTATTATCCCCAAAAAGAAGAATGTACAAGATATGGGACTAGCAGGTGGCATGGTGGTTAAAGGCACTGGACTTCCACATGCCTTACAATACTTTGAGTCCCAGACCTAGCAACTGGAAAAATCACTCAAGCTGGATCAGCAGGTGGTACGGTGGTGAAGGTGCTAGACACGCCCACATGGCCAACCATGGTTCAAGTCCTGGACCTGGTGGCTTGCTTTCTCACTTTCCCTCTCTCTTGCTCTGCCTCTGGTCAAATTAAAACAAATGGGGCCGGCAGGTGGCGTGGTGGTTAAGGACACCGGACTCCCACATAGCTGACCGTGGTTTGAGTCCCAGACCTGGTGGCTTCCTTTCTCACATTTCCTTTCTCTCACTCTGTCCCTCTCTGGTCGACTTAAAATAAATAAATAAAGTTAAATAATTTTTAAAAAAATGAATGAATAAATAAAATTAAATTAATAATTCTTTTTTTTTAAAATCACACTAAGGGCCAAAGCATGTGTGCACAGAATCCTAAGAAGAAAATGGAGAAGGGATTGAAACATGGCCATTTCCATTGTGTGCGTGTGTGTGTGTGTGATTTTCCCTTCTATCTTTCTGGTGAGTGCATTTGTGCTATGACAAAACCCTAAAAGAAGAAAAAAAAAAGTACAAGATGTTACATATATATGTATTGTGCCAGTGTATAATACCTGTCAAGACACAACTTAAAAAAGAAGTGTTTAGGAGGCCAGCAGGTGGTGTGGTGGTTAAGGGTGCTGGACTCCCACATGGCTGACCATGGTTCAAGTCCTGTACCTGGTGGCTTGTTTCTCATTTTCTCTTTCTCTTTCTCGCTCTGTCCCTCTCTGGTCAAATTTAAAATTAATGAATGAATTAATAAATAAATAAAGGTTTTGTTTGTTTGTTTGTTTTTTTAAAAGACGTGTTTAGGGACCAGCAGATGGTGTAATGGACTCCCACGTAGTTGACTGCAGTTCAAGTCCTGGACCTGGTGGCTTAAAACAGGCTGGGTGTATATGTGTGTGCCTGAGAGGAGAATAGAAGAGAAGGAATTGTGTAGCCATCCCCTCTGGGGGGTGATTTCTTGCTTTCTCTCTCTGTCTCTCTGTCTGTCTCTGGTGAGTACATGTGCCCTATACAGAAATCTCTCTCTAGGAAAACAGAAGAAATGTTTAAAGATCTCACCTTGGGGCTGGCAGGTGTCGTGGTGGTTAAGGTGCTGGACTCCTATGTGGCTGACAGCGGTTCAAGTACGAGATCTGGCAGCTTGCTTTCTCACTTTCCCTTTCTGTTTCTCTCCGCCTCTCTTTGGTCAAAATTTAAAATAATGGGAACAGTAGATGGTGTAATGGTTATATCGCTGGACTCCCAAACAGTCGACCATAGTTTGAGTTGCAGACTCAGCAGCTAAAACTCACACTGGGCATGTGTGCATGCA